GTATTTATGAACTGACTGATTTGTTCAGGAACAAGAGAATATTCTTCACGGATAAGACAAAGGGAACTGTTGAGATGTTTGAAGTATTGTCAGGAACTAGAACTGTTCTGTACTCCTCTCTCAGTCAACCGTCCCAACTGTCTTATAGTCCTACTACTGGGTTAGTAGTCATCATCCCATACTTACTAATTCACTTTAACTTTTGTTTTTAACTCGCATTCAATTATTTTGTTTGAATTTGCGCGGTCTATTCCTGACCTCCAGCAAGTTTATTGTAAGACCTCACTAACTTGCACGTCAACCACAGCAAGCTGTTCTGGAGAGAAGGTTCTGGATCTAGAACAGTGTACCAACAAGGCACACCTACCCAGTCTACATCAGTAGAGGTAGCAAGATACCCTGTTATAACTGGACGGGAGACTAGTATAATGTACCACTCTGAACTAATGAAGTATGTGTTCCTGAGAGACAAGGTCTTGTATATCTACGATCCTAGTTCCAGGGAAGTTTCTCAGATTGATACTAATGGAGAGGATGTGAGGAGTTTCAGTGTGGGTCCCAGGAGCTCTATTATTTACTCTTCTTACGGACAACAGGTAAATTTCTGTTTTTTTATTGGGCTTTTAGAGGTCATGCCAATTTGGCAATTTACTTGCCCTTCTAAAATAAATTGTTATCGTATAGCGGGTATTGTTTCTAGTTTGACTTAGTTTAAGATCATTCTTCATATCATGTTATTTCAGATCTACATAATGTTTATCTCGGAGAGGTTACCCAGAACTCCCATCTACCTGTTTACTAGCTCACTGAGAGTAGACAAGTTCAACATGGCCAATATCCGGTCTCTTCTTGATAGGGAAACAATAAGACGACTCACTGCCCAGCTTATAGGTGGAGATAGATCACCTGATGGTGGAGACCAGGGTGGAGATAGATCACCTGATGGTGGAGACCAGGGTGGAGATAGATCACCTGATGGTGGAGACCAGGGTGGAGATAGATCACCTGATGGTGGAGACCAGGGTGTTCAGACAGAGAACACAATGTCGGAAGGAAACCCTGAGAAAGCTGACTACACCTACTCAGTAACATCAGACCAGATCACAATAACCCAACCTGACGGGAGTAACAGTTTTATAGACATTAAAGGGTTCACTAACCTTCAACTGGACCCTACAAGGCAGGTAGTTTACTATCTCTACAACGGATATATTTATCAGAAGAACTGGAGTGGAGATATTGTCACCACCAGAAAACTTATCCAGCTTGGTTCCAGGGTCGGGGATATAGTCTACCTGGTGAGCTCCGGAAAGATTTACTTCTCTGATCAGTCTAATATCGTGGAGTATGATCCGGTGACAGGCAGTAAGAGAACTGTAGCTGAAGGACAATCACCAGCATCAGGGACCTTGAGTGTCAGGGAAGATGGAACCCTGATGTGGATGGATTCTAGCAGAGGTTCTCTCAGATTTATTCAGCTAAGTCTCAGAGATCTGACTCAGCAAACTATTGATCTACCTAACAGTTTCACAGGCAAAGAGAGGAGTATATCTTATCTGAACACAGGTTCCGGTGGTTTCTTCTACTTCTTGAGGGATGGTCGGTTCATGAGGTACAGCTTTGAAACCAGAAGGGTAGAAGTGATAGAGTCAGGCTCTGTCAGGTTTATATCTAGAGCTGTTCCTAGATTCGGCGGTGTTTTCTACGCTACAGCCGACAGGGTTAGTATTTTATAACAATGCTTTATCAATTTTCTTGGTAAAGTTCTCGGATGATAATTTATTGGCTAGGGATTTCGCAAATGATTAATATCACTGCACACCCTTTTTATAATGAGTTCAGTTTGCATAAATAACATTTAACCTATTTTGTAGGTTTACATCTACCTAGCTGAATCAGGAGAGAAAGTAGACCTAGGCCCGGTCAGATCTGACATCTCCTCTATCGGACCCAACTCCTACTCACGTGATCAGATAGCCTCTAAAACTAAACAGTACATCGTGAGATACGTGTACTTTATCAGTAACAACCAACTAGTCAGGGCTAGAGAGGACAACATGATGGACACTAAGGTAGGATCACAAGTCTTTTATCATTCTTCATCAGTTTATTTTTATGTTATGGTAGGAATTAGATCTGACGGTTCAACATTTCTACGTGATTTCTAATTTGAATGAGCATTGATGTTTGAAAAGTTATTGAAGATGATATTGTCAACAGGTGGTAGAGAGAGATGGAGCACAGATGGTTGCTGTTGATCTAGCTACACAGAAAATGTACTACGTTAAAGACAACATCAGGATTGTTGAGGACAATTTGGCCGGTTATTCTAGCCCAACTACTATTGTAAATGATATCTACAGTGTTGGAGATATGGTTTATGATCCCAGGTTTGCAAATAAATCTTCAAATTTAACTTGATTTCTGTAGTAATCACTGATTTAATTTTAGCTATTAAATATTTATTTCTTATCTGGTATCGTATAATGTACATTAAAGTTAACAAGTTGATAAAAATATTGGTATTTATAAACTCAATAATTTCTCCAGGAACAAGAAAATATTCTTCACCGATAAGACAAAGGGAACTGTTGAGATGTTTGAAGTATTGTCAGGAACTAGAACTGTTCTGTACTCCTCTCTCAGTCAACCGTCCCAACTGTCTTATAGTCCTACTACTGGGTTAGTAGTCATCCCATACTTACTAATTCACTTTAACTTTTGTTTTTAACTCGCATTCAATTATTTTGTTTGAATTTGCGGTCTATTCCTGACCTCCAGCAAGTTTACTGTAAGACCCCACTAACTTGCATCTCACCCACAGCAAGCTGTTCTGGAGAGAAGGTTCTGGATCTAGAACAGTGTACCAACAAGGCACACCTACCCAGTCTACATCAGTAGAGGTAGCAAGATACCCTGTTATAACCGGACGGGAGACTAGTATAATGTACCACTCTGAACTAATGAAGTATGTGTTCCTGAGAGACAAGGTCTTGTATATCTACGATCCTAGTTCCAGGGAAGTTTCTCAGATTGATACTAATGGAGAGGATGTGAGGAGTTTCAGTGTGGGTCCCAGGAGCTCTATTATTTACTCTTCTTACGGACAACAGGTAAATTTCTTTTTCTATATTTGGCTATCAGCGGTCATGCCAATTTGAAAATTTTCTTACCTTTCTGAAATAAATTGTTATCGTATGAAAAGTATTATTTCTAGTTTGCCTTAGTTTAAGATCATTCTTCATATCATTTAATTTCAGATCTACATAATGTTCATCTCGGAGAGGTTACCCAGAACTCCCATTTACCTGTTTACTAGCTCACTGAGAGTAGACAAGTTCAACATGGCCAATATCCGGTCTCTTCTTGATAGGGAAACAATAAGACGACTCACTGCCCAGCTTATAGGTGGAGATAGATCACCTGATGGTGGAGACCAGGGTGGAGATAGATCACCTGATGGTGGAGATCAGGGTGGTCAGACTGGTAAGGTGGTGTTGAAGATGATACAAGCCAGTGGAGGGATAGTATCCCTGTCGTTCAGGAGTGGAGTGGCTGGTGCTAAGTATAGTTATGTTGGAAGGACTGATACCTACTACAACGCAGTCACTACTTGTAGAAGAGATGGTGGTGTTCTGGCCTGTCCTAAGAACTCCTTCCAGAACTACATTATTAGTGCAACTCAGATACAGTGAGTGGTTCATTTGTACTCGTGCTGGATTGAAACAGAAAACAAATTATTATCAACCGAAAACGTAACAAACGGAAATATTCAAGTGTCTGCTCTGGATCTGTAACCTCATTCAATGTAACTAAAATAATTCCTTGTCCAGGGACACAACTTGGATCGGTTATCAAGACATAAGAGACGAAGGTAACTACCGCTGTTCTGACATCATTGATGTTCCTTACACCAACTTTAAAGACGGAGTTCCTAAAAACGCTGTGAGTTATTAAAATTAAAGACTTTGAAATCGTAAAATCCTTGATACTCATTTCTCATTCTGTTGAACTATTGCCTTGTTAAGTTATTAAATATCGTAATGTTTGAGTCTTGGGCTCAACAAAATAAAGTTTCATAATTTAAATTGACTTATCACACCGTCCCTCAGTACATGTCAGATGATGACGCAGATTTCTCCGTCCTCCTCCGCACTGGAAGATGGGAGATGAGAGGGTCCCTCTCTAGTAATAGCTACAGATATAACGCTGTCTGCCAATTTGGTGAGTCATCAGTTATTAATTGCTAGCTGTCCTTGAGACAAACCATCCTCACTATTAAAACTACACACTTATTAAATTAATTTTAGCTGATGAATCTATTATACATGCTTTGTTTTAATTTTATAATACGAACTATTCCATACAGTTTGCACGGTTGGTTTGGACGAGGGCTGTATTCCCAACAAAGTGGACGATATTGAAGTAGTAACTGTGACGAACCCTGATCCTCGTGAGTTATACTCTGTACATCGTTCATGCTATATCTTATCTCTACTACAACTTTTACTTTTACATCATTTAAAAGTTCATGCTAAGAAAAATATGTCTACTTGTTAAAATAAATAGTCTTAATGTAACATGCAGTAATAATATTTCTCTCAGTGTACACTGCTATAGTGGGAAGTAGAGATAACACCGACACTGATTCCCCCGGTGGAATGACATTTAACGACTATCTAAACACCTACTACAGCTCCTCCTCCGGACGAGTGTTCAAATATCTGAGCTCCTCCCTAACTTTCTGGGACGCTGAAGCTGCCTGCTCCGCGGACAACATGAAGTTAGCTTGTCCTCAAAACAAGCTCCAACAGGCTGCTATGGGACAAATGTTAAAGACTACATCCTGGCTTGGGTTTGTTGATTACTATACTGATGGCGAATGGGAATGTGCTGATGGCACCAGCAAGATCGGCTGGACTAACTGGGGTCTGGAACAGCCTGATAACACCTATATGGAGGATTTAGATGCTGACTTCACTGTTGTTGTGTACGATAAGAACAGTCCCAACCATCTGAAGTGGGAGATTCAGGAAGCTATGATTTCCCACAATACAAATTTGGAGCTGTTTGTCAGATAGAGTGTTCTGTTGGAGACATGGACGGTTGTATTCCTGACCAGTGAGCATATTTAGCACTTCAATTCCAGAAATTAATGATACTTATGAGTTTTTGCTCTAATTTCCAAGAAAGTGCTAACCTGACATGCAGGATAATTTTTAATAACAATTAAAACGATCAAAATGAGCGATTACACGATTCATTTCACGATCATGATGAAGCAATAATACTGATCATCAAAAATGGATAGTATACATATTGCATTCTTTTTAAAACTGCATTCTTTAAAAAAATCAAAAGCCATCTATTGTCCATTAATTTTTACACAAGGTTAAACTTTTATTTCTTCAGATTGAAAGAAGATGCCCCTGACGCGATGATATTCTTCAAAAAAGATATGAGTGATGGACCAAGAGAGTCTGGCTCGTGGCGTTACGAGATCCCAGCAGGGTTATCTGGAAACTTCTACCGACTAGCCTCTGAAACTAAAGCTTACTATGGTTCCCTGGCTGCATGCCGAGTAATGGGAGGTAACATGGCCTGCCCAAGGAATGAGCTACAGAACCAGATGATAAAGACGACTGCTGGAGGATCTGAAGTATGGTTAGGAGTGAGTGATGTGATGCAGGAAGGTGTCTTCAAGTGTACCAGCGGTGAAACTGCTGACTGGAATAACTTTGCTGGAGGTGAAGCCTTGAACAAATTTGAGAGAGACACTGAGGCTGACTATGTGGCTATGAAGGAAGACGGAACATGGGTCGCTAAAGGAGCTCTCAAGTTCAACACTTATAAGTTACCAGCAGTGTGTGAGATTAGCTGCACCACTGGTAGTAGTCAGCAGTGCTTCCCTAATGACCTCTCCGACGTTAAGAAGGTCTATGTCACTGATGTAGACGCTTCGACTGAACAGATTGATCCTAATCCCGAGTCATGGCCAGAATATATGGTGATCAGTGGGAACCAGAGAGTTACTGGAGGTAAGGGAAGAAAGTACATTGGTGTGAAAACTTCTGCTAGTTTTAGGGCCATGGATAGGGCTTGTAGGAAGAACCCCAGGATTCTGGGTCACATCGCATGTCCACGTAACACTGAGCAGCAGGCTGTCGTTCAGAGATTATCGGAGGAAATGATGGCTGATGTTTGGCTTGGAGTTGACGAATCTGGAGTGAGATGTTCTAACGGAGACACGTTGGATTATGGAAACTTTGCTTCAGAGAGAGGCTCTGATAGCACGGTCGTAATGTCGTACAGCTCTGAATCCTCACTACACGGACAATGGAAGACTGCTGGTGGTAGAGCGTTTGGAGTATGTGAACAAGAGTGTGAAGTCGGAAGTGACAGCTCATGTGTCCCTGATGACATCTCCAGCGTTGGGAGAAGTACTCTGAGACTAGCTGATGAAGTTAGGGGCTTGCAGTTCTCTGTTACCGATGTCCCTGCTACCTATGCCCAGGCGGTTGCTAGCTGTGAAGCTCAGGGTGGATCCTTGGCTTGTCCCAGGAACTCGTGGCATCAATCCGCTATAAAGTCTCAAATCAGCACCTTGTCGTGGATTGGTATCACGGGACAGGAGAGATGTCTTGATGGAGATATGCTAGATATTACGAACTGGCAGGGAGCTTCCAGACCCAGAAAAGGGCTAGCAGCTATCATAACTCCTGACGGAAGATGGAGCATCGGTCCAGAGTCAGTGAGATACTCATACGTGTGTGAGATTCCGTGCAAAGCAAGGGGAGTCATATCAGATTGCATTCCTCTGTCATTCCCAGCTGATCTTGATGTAAATGTCTTTATTAGAGCTGCTCAAGTTGATCTGAGCCCGTTACTATTAGAAGCACTTGACATCTTGATCATGGAGTTTGACGAAAGTGACCTCCTAACCAAACCATGGGAAGCTAAAACTTTACCCGGCACAGAGGAGCCTCCCATTCCAATAGAGATTGGTGGACGGCACATTGACCGAGAGGGTGCTATCTTCTCTGTTATCTATGAGAAGACTAAATTCTGGGACGCTGTAGATAGATGCGAGGAGATGATGATGAAGCTCGCGTGCCCTCAAAATAACCTACAGCAACAATACATAACGTCCAAGATTAATGCCACAACTTGGTTGGGTATCTCTGACACTACAACTGAGGGTTCCTTTGTATGTATGGACGGGAGTCAACAGAACTTTGAAGCCTGGCTTCCAACTGAGCCTGATAACAAAATATGGGGATCTCCAGAGGGAGATTTCGTGTCCATGATCTACCTTCCAAACACCAAGTACCACGGCAGATGGATGGATGAAACACCACAGGTTGAACACCACTACGCTTGTAGCAAGGAATGCATTGTGGGTAGTGCTAGGAACTGTATCCCTAACAATTTGTTACTGCCGGAGACAGCAGAACCTGGCACCTCTGCTCCTATTACACTACCTGTCACTAACACTGATTGGCCCACTGAACAGGTCTCTGGTGATATGGAAGATATGGCTGACAAAAAGGTTACCAAAGTGTACATGAACACTGAGCCTGTTACAACGACAGAGAAAATATTTGAAACTGACGCGGTAAATCCAACCGAAGTCCCAACACAGAAAGATAAGAGCATGACATCAGGTTCCTCCAGTGAGACCTCCTTTACAAGTCTGAACGATTATCTGATAACCTACTACAACAATTCCCCAGGAAGAGTGTTCAAATATGTGAGCTCATCCACTAATTTCTGGGATGCGGAGATAAGCTGCTCTGATATGGAGATGATACTAGCGTGTCCTCAAAACAAACTACAACAAGGTACCATCAACCAGGTTATCAGGTCTACCTCCTGGTTAGGATTTGCAGACTACTATACTGATGGAGAGTTCTTCTGTTTGAGTGGAGGTGATGTACTGCAGTACACAAACTGGGGTCTGGAGCAGCCTGATAACACCTATATGGAGGAGACGGATGCTGACTTCACTGTTGTTGTGTACGATAAGAACAGTCCCAACCATCTGAAGTGGGAAGATACAGGAAGTTATGACTTCCCTGAACATATGTTTGGATCTGTTTGTCAGATGGAGTGTACTGTTGGAGATATGGACGGTTGTATTCCTGACCAGTGAGTTGAATGTGTTGTCAACTTGAATGACTGTGGATTTTGAGTTTAATTATTAGATATTGTCTAAAATAATCGAACTTTCCTGCCAAATTTGACGGTATAACAGTACGTTAACAATTGTTTAGATTTCCTTTTAAACTCCTAATCACCCAGGCTGAGTGAGGATGTGCCTGACCCTACGGTATTCCTCCTAAGTAAGGATGTTGAATCTGACACAGAAGTTGAGGATTCGTCTGAATCACCTACAAAATCTGTCACAAAACCTACAAAATCTGTAACAGAAGGCACAAAATCTGTAACAGAAGGCACAAAATCTGTAACAGAAGGCACAAAATCTGTAACAGAAGGCACAAAATCTGTAACAGAAGGCACAAAATCTGTAACAGAAGGCACAAAATCTGTAACAGAAGGTACCAATCCTGTTACTGAAGGCACCTCAGCCAGTGATGACGAGATGGCAACTGACCCCACAAGATTCAGGACAGTTGACGGAGTATCGGAGACACTTACCACTTACGAAACCAAACCTACCACCTCCCTCTTCAAGGAAATTCAACTGGAGGACCTGGAGAATGTCAATACAGGCTCTTTCACCACTGAAGGTTTGTCAGTTCTACTATTTCATTGTTTGTGTTCAAACTGAATTGTACAAGACAATATCTTTTAATAGTCTCGCACACAGACGTCACCACACGTAAATAATTCAAGTGGCTATTCAAATTCTTCCCTCAGAACTTGTGACGGTTGAGCCATCTCCAAAGTCAGTCACCCTCGTTAAAGTCATGCTGGAGTATGACAACTCTGAGAAATACCTAGGAGGTTTGAGAACACACATTTTTAAAGCGTTGTGCTTTTTAAGCGTTATTTCCAACTTCAATGAACCAAAGTTAATGACCCTACTTAAAATTAAAATCGTTGTGAAGTCAGTATGACTTCAACTGTACAGATATACTAGAGACATAACCCTGCCCCTTCACAGAGCCAGGACAAGTGTTTGTCTACCATCCAGTGCCCACACTGTACTACGATGCTGCCTATACCTGCTCCGGAATGCCAGGAATGGAGGATATGGAGGAGGGTAAGCTGGCTTGTCCTCTTAACTCCCTGCAGCAGTATGCTGTCTCCGCTGTTATTGAGTAAGTTATATTTTATATAATATATTAATTGAAATTTGTACCTGCAGTCGTAGATTTATTAGTTATAGATTCTTTTCAAAATAGAAAAAATTGTATCCTCGTTCTCAGGAGAAGCTGGGTGTGATATTTACTCCAGCATGACGTGTCTGTACCCATACACTGGCATTATTACCCGTACAATACAATACAATACGAATTTATTTTTCCTTCTGTTCTTGGATATCACCATAATCGTGATCTCTTAATGCACCTTCCATTCGATTCAATTGGAAACGAGAACCAGTTACCAGAGGAAACATATGAGTGCGACCAAATCGTGCGAAAAGTGTGATTAGATCCATCACTTGCTTAAAATTGCTCAATGTGCGGCAGGTGTGGGGCTCGAGAGCAGCGATCATAAGCTTCCTGTCTTGGACTATATTTTAATGTCACAAAGCTGCTCAAAAATGATTACATGGTTAGTGGAGTACCGCCCTTGTGTCATTCGCCCTCGTACTCCCTATATCCGTAATTATAGAGAGAGCCAGATTGAACACAAATGATTATATCTTAGATACTGGTAAGTTAAAACTTAAGATCAACAGTAAATTGTCTTAAGTCTGGTGAGTCATGAGCCACATTAGTACCTAAACGTGTGAGCGATTATACCCGCGATTATACCCGTCTACTAAGGATAAAATTATTAACCATAGATTCTTTTTCAAAATTTAAAATTTGTATTCTCGTTCTCAGGAGAAACTGAGTGTGATATTTACTCCAGCATGTGTCTGGAACCTTGCACTAGCATTATTACCCGTACAATACAATACGTATTTATTTTTCTTTCTGTTCTTGGATATACCTTAAGATCGAAAAATTTAGTCTACCATAAATTTAATCAAAATTTTGACTAAAATTGTTGTAAACAAAATTTATTGAGACTAACTATTTCGGCGACTAATTTAAAAGCAGAGAGTATGTATAATGTATAATGATATATGACATGATACTATAATTACATCACCGTTCCTACTGCTGAACTACTTTGACTATTACACGTGTAATCCATTGCTTTTATGCTTCACATTCTCTTACTTCCTTTTACCATCAGATAGTATCTGGAATCTGGATCTAGTTTAACTCAGTAATTATGTGATTCTAGAATCGGGAAAAAACTAGTTAAATAATGGAAAAATCAAATAAATGAAATAGAAAATGGTCTCGAAAAGTTGAAAAATGTGACTAAAATTATGGTAACCAAAATGTTTGTGAACCACATTTATTGTGAACCAAATTGACTGGCCTTAAGGTAATCATAATCGTGATCTCTAATGCACCAGCCATTAGATTCAGTAGCAAATGAGAATCAGTGGCAACCATAGTTGTTAAGTTCGTCGAAGAAATGCGAAAAGTTCGTCCAGTTCGGCACCTTTTAAAAATTCGTGAAAATTCGTGAAAATTCGTTGCGTAAATTTTCTTGGCATATGTTTTGATTTTATAATGAATGGCTTAGGTGCGATCACTATTACACTTGTAAACAAATGATACAGTTAGATAGTTATACATACTTGTATTGAAAAAAAAACTAGATCAACAACAGATCATGACTAGTACTTCAATATAAACAGAGCTGGTTCACAGATTACAATTAAGCATCATTACAGAGGCACATATTAGGTGCGATGGGTGCGGGATCGCACAATTTACCGTTTTCCGCACATTTCCGCATAATTTATTGTTTTCCGCACATTTCTGAACATTTTGTAATTTTCTGCATATTTCCGCATAATCTAGCATTTTCCGCGTAATTTCGCATAATTTTGAAATTTTCGCGTTAAGATTTTCAAGTGTAAAAACCAAAATATTTTAAAAGTCGGGCTCTTTTAGGACCGTGACTCAGGCCCTTTCAGGACCCTGACCCAGGCCCTTTCGGGACCCTGACCCAGGCCCTTTCGGGACCCTGACCCAGGCCCTTTCGGGACCGTGACCCAGGCCCTTTTGGAACTCATGCCTAGGCCACGTGACCCGGTTACCACGTGACCCAGGCCTTTTCGGGACCGTGACCCAGGCCCTTTCGGGACCGTTACCCAGGCCCTTTCGGGACCGTGACCCAGGCCCTTTCGGGACCGTGACCCAGGCCCTTTCGGGACCGTGACCCAGGCCGTTATGGAACCCTCGTCGTTACCGTACTTCGATTATAGTGTATCAGTTATCATTCGTAACTTCACCACATCATCTGCTTACTCTATATCACATCACAACGTCATGGACCGTTTCCTAAAGAAACGAACAGCTACACACAGTGACCGGCTGCACGACGGCCAGGCCCCCCTCATTATTCGGGAGATCAGATCATGACACCAATTAGTGACGTATGTTTAGTGATGTGATCCATCAGTAGAATTTAATTGACCTAGAAATGGGCTAGATACAGAGTAGAGTTCACATGTCGACTCTGTTCACATAATATTATTAGTTAAATTGTGTTAATACTTTACCATACTACACGTAATAAAACAAATAAACCCTGTTTACAATGAGATAACATCACATGATCGAATCACGTGTTTTGATAACAAAGCTAGAGACTAAGGGGTATGGAGCACACTGCTTTTCATGTGTTTTATAGACTGACCATTAGTTCTTTTACACAGATTGTACTACTAGTCTTAACTATAATTATAAAGATTATCTTTTGTGGGGACCGAGGGCTCGTCGTCCGAGTATAAAGCTGACACTCCTGATCACTACGTTCATAGAAATATTTCCTTTACCCTCATGAGATGTTGTCTGTATATATTGTCTTAACAATTGATCAATGTTCTCATTGTTCCAAATCTCATGATTCAATTTCACTTAACAAATTAACTCCTAACTAACCTTATGCCTAACTTACCTTATGCCTAACACGCATTACACATTATTTTATTTCCTCATCTTTGCCTTTGTTGATTGTTCATCTTCTCGCACAATTCCTTAAGTGGGTGAGTCATCGTCATGTGAATGTTTGCATAATGATCATTATGATCATTATGAGCCTAACATATTTTTTCCGGTTTACTTGCTACACGTTGCGATCAAAAGGGTGTGTCAACGATTTACTTTACTGAAGCCCGTACCTTTTAGTAGTACCTACCTCTCGATATACGATTTTGGAATCGAAGCTTCCCCCTTGTAATGCGACCACATATGTGATATACCAGTCAAGCGGTCAGATCTTAAAGATCATGTTTACTTCTTAATGCAATGCCATGATGTACAGAGTTGACATGTGAACTCTACCCTGTATCTAGCCCATTTCTAGGTCAGTTAAATTCTACTGATGGATCACATCACTAATTATACGTCACTAATTGGTGATATGATCTGATCTACGTTGGACCCCTAATAATAAGGGGGCCTGGTCGTCGGCCTCTCCAGTGACCCATCATCAAGCTCACCACACAAGAAACAGAAGATACCTGCATGGGATCTGATCGACTCTATCAAGAGGCGACTTCAAATAACTGTCTCCTGATCTCTACCAGATCAAGTCACTGTTCTCAGATAACTGAATCTCAATATTAGGTTCAATCATGGTCTTAGTAAAGAACTACACCTTCAGTAACACATAAACAGACCTATTTTTGATAAGAGCGGCGGTTATACGTTTAGAATTTCCAAAGTCCTTGAGAAAATGCAAAAGAAAACCGCACAATTCCCGCACAAATTTCGCCGCACATTTGCCGCATAATTGGTAAAAATTTACCGCACCTTACCGCACATTTAACCTTTATAGTCGGGTGTGGTACCGCATAATTTCGATTTTTTTACCGCACCTAATATGTGCCTCTGAGCATCAATTATAGCAACAGCTCGCAACTTATCATTGTTATCTAAATAATCTATAGCATATGTGATCTTAGTGATCTTAGTGCCAGCACTAGTGCTCTCTGTCCAGATTGCTGATTCGCTAGCTATGTCGTTCAGAAGCTTTAAGTTGGAGTGAACGTAAACCAGCTTTCTGGTCTTTTCTGTTTTTAGTTTATTTCTCCCTTTCGAGTACACATATTCAAACTGGCTCCAATTTGTTTCGCAGGCAAATAAAGTTCGGTTAAAGTTCGTCTATTTCGTTAAAAAATTCGTCCAGTTCGGCACCTTTTTAAAGTTCGTCCAGGACGTCCGTAACAACTATGGTGGCAACATATAAAAGCGAAAAATGTGATCCAGCACTTGCCAAAAATTGCTTAATGTCTGGTAAATTTGGCGAATAGTGCGACTCGAGTGCAGCTTTCTGTGTTGGAATATCTTTTTATGTTGCAAAGCTACTTAAAAATGATTACATGGGGTTAGTAGAGTACCGCATTTGTGTCATTCGCCCTCGTGCCCTATATTACCTACCTTATCGGTCATCATTATCACGGACAACTTTTTCACGAACCGAATGTTTCACGGATATAATTATTCACGCTCATGGCCGCCCAAAAATTTCCAAAAAAACTGTAAAAATTGTTGGTGATTTTTTAATAACTGTTTTACTCTTATATATATATTCTCTTATTTATATATATATTCGTAATTATAGAGAGAGCCAGATCGAACACGAATAATTACCGCTACTAGGTACGTTCAACTGTAAGTCATGTCTGATATATATTGCAGAGTCATGCCAACTAATTAATAAACGACTAAACGTGTGATCGATTATACCCGCTAGTATTTACTAAGGATGAAAAATAAACAATTAGATTCAAGCCAAGTGCTCATTTGGACGACTAAAGTGGGTGTTTAAATAATATTTTCATTGTTTCCCGCACCCTCGGAATAACGCAATTATTTTGCTGTTTATGCTCTGCTTCGATTTATTTTGGCGTCTACAATTGAGTTGTAAAATTGAAAACAATTCTGCCACGGAGAATTACACCACTTTCACCCAAACCGGCAAAACTGGCAGATTCATATCGCTTCACCTTTGCTTTTTTGGCTCTATTGCCATGTTTTATCACAGTTATGCTAAGTCAAAGTGCCACAAGGACTTAGGA